TGTCCTGAATGTTAGCAGGGAGAAGGGCGTACTCCAACTCCCACCCAGCGGTCGCCACGAGGACGCGTCCAGGACATGGGCCAATGGCACAACAGTAGCAGCAGTGGGTAGATCACATGTCAGGATCTAGTCACCACCAGCCTCAGCGCACCACAGGCGTTCCAGCCGGCCACATACACACATACCTAGATATGCACATACTCTCATGAATCCAGTCTGCAACTGGTTAACTTGCAACATATGTGTACAAGTACCGGTTTTTTGCATTACCATGATTATGCCTATGCAGGTGTCTCGTACTGACAAGGATAAAAAATTAGTTAGTTATTTAGTTACTACATTGCGATCCCAAAATTGCGAGGGAATGGGGCAACTAAAAGTAACATTTAGGAGTCCAAACGCCTAGATGACTTTCACCAGCTGGTTCAATGACGGTTGAATAAACCACGGTTTCAACTCACAACAAACGGTGTAACTCCAAATCATGGATTTGACTTCAATCACAGAATACGGTAAGTTTGTGGCGCAGAAAAGAATGCATCATGCGAATTATCCCGAGTTTCGGACTGTCAAATGAGCTGCTGCAGCAGGTACGTGAGAATGTGTCGGCTTCATGATTGGACTTACCGAGTCAGTATATAACATTGTACTGAAAGGGCGCAAGTTCAAGTCTTCAGCGCTGTATTTTGTCGCTTTTAATTTTCTTCTGGCTTATGCTGTTGTAGACGAAAACCACAGAACATTAATCTGTAACCAGATGGAAGTGATTACCAAGCTATAGGTGGTACCATGTTGGCACTGCCTCAACGAATGCGCAGGCATTTTTCTGCCGAATAATAGCGCTTCTCGATGGAAGACAATGTGCGAGAAAGGTAGGCTACTGATCCTCTGTCACAGTTTAAGATACCCGAGATGTCTACAATAAAATCAACTGTATCCACTAGTAAAGGTACGCGAGGGTCAGTATTGGTAAACCCGGCATACTTCAGCATTCCTTTAGAACTGTGGCGGGACTTTAAAATCGGCCATTGCCTTTTCGCCGAACATCGTATTTTAAATTAGTTGCCGCATACAACTCAGTTTTGCAAGATTAAGCTGACAGATATTTTGTTCAACCAACTTCCAAGGTCACTGAGACCCTTTACTCCATCCACCTTTGAAGATAAATGCGAGATATCGCGCACGATCTACTATCTATGGACAAAACATTTTGCGTCAATTGAAATGAATTCTGAAGAAAAATGTTAACGAAAGCGTTTTCGTTTTGATTAGATACAAATCGCGAAAAGTGCATTCGGTTTTTCTAGATCGTTGCTAGATCAACTTATGAGAGTGTAATCTTCTCACTTTTTTACTCATCCTTAAACAGCATTTTTAATGGTAACTCTTTGGTACATTTACAGTTGAGATTGTAAAAGGCTGACAATGCACCCATCTGGGTACATAAAGCTTATACTGAGTTGACTTGATCATCAAAGGACGTTTGGACGGATGGTGGCACGAGAAATTAAGTGATGTGAACGAGTGGGCTAGTTTTGTTAGAGACGTCCTGTACCCATTGGCAGTAGTGAGCAAACATCCCTGTCACTCTCCGTTGAGCCTTGATAACGGTGGGAAAAGACAATTCCTGAAAAGGCCTCAATCGCCCGGAGTCTAGCTCAATTATTCTTTTCGAGATTACCTAACCCTCTTTGCCCTAGACACGCTTTCTGCGTAATCGAAGGTGATGCTGTACTTTGAAGCGACATCTAAAAGGCGATTAATATTCTGTCGATGTTCAAAAAGATACTTTCCACAGATGGTGACATTATCCAAGTACATAAACGGATGAATTGAAGTTTGGAGATTAATTCATCAATGGTTTTTGGAAGCAAAAGACAAAATTGATTACTCTGAAAAGTATGCGAAGAAATTAATGAAGTTTGGCAAAGTCCTCAAAAACCGTGTAAGACAGTCTCTTAGGTCTGATTGTAATTTGATGGTAAGCACTCTTTAGGTTTGACGTAGAGAACCTTCGAAACATAGCGAGCTTCTGAACCATTCCATCCAGTCTAGGCAGAGGGTAAGCGTCCAGATGTGTAAATCGGTTTGCCGCTCGGCTGTAATCTAGGACCATTCGTCGTTCGTCTTTTGTTGATAATGACCAGTACCTAAGCTCTCTATGGTCGAAAGGATGGCTCAATGTTTCCCTGTGGGATACGGCTTATCTCGCAGTGAATAAAAGCATCATCATCGGGACTATTTCGGCCGGTACACATCTGTAGTTAGGATGAAGCCATGGATACACATGTTTAAAACTAATTATTCTTTCGGTTAGTTTCCTGGAAAACAACAGCAGAGACGTAGCTCTCAGAACTACAGGTTGAGAACCACTAACCTGCATGCTGCTGATTACTGGGGTTAAGCAACCAGGAGCAACCAAATTTGTTGAGTGAGGGACTTGTGAAGTTGACTAAGCAATCTCCCTGGATACGCAAAGGGTATATTCTTTCCACAACTCTGGCAAATAGCTTCCTGAAACGGGCTTTAGGCCACTTTTCGTTGGACGCAGCCGAAACGTATGGGGGAGGTGAAAGTGGGGGTTTGGCAGTTTTGACAGGTGATTCGAGTCTTTTGGACATTGATGCGTAGGAAGGGGAGATGTGAGGAATTTTGTAAGACTGTGAGTGTTGGCGTTCTACTTTCAGGGACCTAGTTAAAGCGAATGTAGTTTGAAAATCTAACACACCGGGTTACAACAAGCGTTGTGGTATTTGAGGAGAAAGTATCCCTATGACGAAATCATCGAAAGCGGCGACATCACGACTTTGCTTCGCGCTGACAGCCTTGAAAGACTTGGAGTCTCTGAGCGAATTGGTCCAAGCTAGATTCGTTTCGTTGTTTGTGCGCAGCAATCGTGTCCCAACTTGTTGAATTAAAGGCGAACATATATATATATATATATATATATATATATATATATATATATGTATATTGGCGACATCCGGTTTCGGATTTGCCTGTCACTGTGGCCACCCACAGGACCCCTGCGCCTACAGAGGGACCATGCATGGCTTGCGCTGCACCACCCACAGCTTCAACCACACACCCTATATCCAGTGTAAACCCGAAGGAATAAGACCGGGAGGCATGCGGATGGGAGCCACGTTTCATCAACGGAGCCGGCCCATACTCCTTCCAAAGCAAACACAAGCACGCTGTATTTGGGGAATCAAGCGCACACAAGGCGGTGGCTGGACCGTAGTCCGCTCCACACTGAGTGCATGGAACCGCTCTTCGAGCCTAGCACAACGACAAGGACCGTGCACCCCGTCCCCTCCAACAACGACCAACTGTCTCCTGGAGCCAGTATGGACGAGGTAGTGGGTAATAGACAGGTAGGCACCTTGTCAACATGCACATCAAGCGCAGCCACACCGGGGATATCAAGCAACAGCCAATCACTTAAAAGGACAAGATGAAATAAAACAAATGAAATAATGCATACAGATACGCTGGCATAACTCTTCGCTAAATTAGCATATGAAGTAAGTAGGTTAGCAACGAATCCGCGATAAGTAAAAAATGTCCACAAGTTAGTTAAAAATGCTACAAACGCAACAAAATTACCGAAGATAAGCGCAATTAGCGTCAGCAACGTGGCCAGTTAATAGAAGATTATTCAAGTAGGCAGAATAAACCAAATAAAGTGGAATGAAATTTGTCCAGCTTGAAAAGACCTAGTTTGAGTGTAAGTTGGTTTGGCCCAACTAAGGTGAAGAAGCATCAAGAATGCAAGAAATGCAATATATATATATATATATATATATATATATATATAGTAAGCATTAGAATTTGCATAAAGTAACCACTGCGGTGACAATGAGAGCGCAAACTGGCTGTGAGATACCGTTCAGTAAGGAGTTGCTTCGGTGTTCGACAGGGGCATTTGTGGGAAAGGCGAATAGCTGCCAAGAAATAACTGAGGCCATCAAGTGATGGATTGTTAAAGTGAACGGAATTATTTGACTTGCCACTAGGCATGATAAAGTAGCTAGGTGCATGAATAAGAACTTGTCACTTGGCAGGATAGATTTAGTTCCGCGGGAAGCACAGAGCGGTTGACTTATTCCCGCCTATGATACCCACTCCGTGTTCGGCTGTAGCACAATCCACACCTGTGATATGGGTGGTGTTGTCTTCTAGTCGGTCTCCAACTTGAAATGTCATGTGGTCAGCTGAATAAGGCCAAGTAAGGCGTAAAGGATAAAATGTCGTAAAGATACCCCCTCCAAATATACATGACGACCAGATTGCACGGCGTTGCCAAAAGACAAGCCTTTCATCTATCCGTCCTCTTAGTTCTCATTGGCAGGTACCTCATATGGTACCTGTGCAGTTTCTACGTTGAGAATAGTTGAGCCCAAATCAGCCAGAGACTGAAGCTAAGATTATCAGTCGTTTATAGGTGATGCTGAGAGGTGTAATCATTTACAATGTCAGCTATGATCCGTATGCCAAGGTGTGATGCACCCAGCAGCCTCGAGACATCGTCAAAGTAATGAAAGAAGAAGAATGGTGAAATAAACGAGCAATAACAAAAGCCCTAGGCGAAAGAACTAGATCAGCACGTGGCTTGGTGACAGCGTCATACTCGTTGAATTACCCAAGCAATGATGTGGCCGATTCGGAGGATGCCGTCCAGAAGGTTAGATAGTAATGTGAGACAAGGCGGTATGGCTGGATAAAAAAATGAATGAAACGCCTGTACGCCGTAACGGCGCTTCGCTGCCGCGCGACCACTACCAGTCGCGCGTGGGTTGAATGCACCGCGAGGACGGCCGCCCCTACACGGACTGGAACTGGTCACCTTTGGTTGCAAACCAGGCGTGCAGACCACTCGATCACCAGCCGACAACGGCTGGATACGTAAGCAACTGTAAAACGAGGCAACCAACCGCGAACACCACGACGGGAGAAAAATTGCTGAGTTGATATTATTTGAAAAGAGAGAAACGTACTTTTAGCTTCCGTCGGGCGTTAAATTTCTTCAGGCACTCCACCGTTTCTTGTCTGTGCATCATGGATGCGACACGTTCCCGTTGCTGCAAAGAAGAACGAGAAAAGGAAAAGTAGAGGACAGATAGGAAAACATATAGCTGAATATGAGAGATTACGTGACTTAAGGACATGCATCGAGAGCAATTGCTTACACATATCCAGGGATGCTTGAGGGCCTCTGCCGCAGTGATACGGCGGGATGGACAAACGGTGAGCATTGAGTTGATGAGGTTTTTTGCCTCCGGAGTGACGGTATCCCACTCTGGTGATGGGTACTGAAGACGAAATCAAGATAGAGGCAAAAACAATGAACATTATTTGGCAGTACTGCACAAGTGTACTAAATAAAGGATGGAGAATAGATCTGTGGAAACTGTGCCGCTCAAATAAGAGACGAGGTCGTGAAAATAAAGGCAGGATAGGGGGGGGCACGGAATGCCGCACTTGAGTCCCGTCACAAGTCTACTAAAACTTCCGAACAGCACCTGATTCAGAACAATAGATCACGTTAATCAACAAGCGCGAGTGCATGGAGTCGGACAAAACTCAATGAAAGAGATGGTGAGAAACACTCCAAGAAGCCCGTGGAGTTTTAAGTCACTAGATCTCTCTATATGTGCCCTAAAACTGCTCGAGATGAATTTTGAGAGAAGGTCCGCGGAGCCGAAAGTGATGGTGACAGTGTCCAATGTGCATGAAGAGCGACTGGCGAATTTCGGCATCCGGAGTAGGCCAATACGTTATACCGACGTTTTGATGTCCCGCAACTACCAGTAGTTGCAGATAGGCTAGGGATACTGCAAAGTCGAGGCGGCGATCTGCGGATAGCAAGCCAGACGCCCGAACCACGGTTGGCCAGTTCTAAGAGTTCGATGCATATTCAGATAATCCATAGCACCCAGAAATGTAAACTAAAACGAACTATTCGGAGGTGGATGAGTGGCAATAAATGGGAATTCTGCAAAGGCTTAAATCGAAGTTACTCTAATAGAAAACAAAAGCAGAAATGTAGCCAGTAGGATGCACAGAGCGGTGTAAAAGAAAACAAGGCTCATAGAGGGGCAAAACGCCCGATGGAACTCACGTCGAAAGCTCCCGACTTTATCTGACTGTACAGTCGATTCTGATCTTCATCCCAGAACGGGGGATAACCAACCAACAGAATGTACAGGATAACGCCTGTATGGGAAAGTCATAATGAGAAAAGAGGTGGGTTATAGGGGTAGAACGGACCGAAAGAAGGAAGGATAACTCAGCGTTTCCTGTGTTGAATGAGGAGTTAACCGTTAAAAGGTGAGGAGGAATGAGGAGGGAACAGAAAATTGAGTGACTAATACAACCAGTAAGCAGATCTATAGATCATCCTTCATGTTGTTGTGTGCAAGCAACCCAGGAGGTAACAAGGCACCGGCCCAACGATCGGGAAGGCTATAAGAAGAGACGTCACGTGGTGGCAACCACTTATATATATATATATATATATATATATATATATATATATATATATATATATATATATATATATATATATATGGTTTGCGGCATCCGGTTTCGGATTTGCCTGTCACTGTGGCAAGCCACAGGACGCCCGCGCCTACAGAGGGACCATGCATGGCTTGCGCTGCACCACCCACAGCTCCATCCACACACCCTATATCCAGTGTAAACCCGAAGGAATAAGACCGGGAGGCATGCGGATGGGAACCACGTTTCATCAACGGAGCCGGCCCATACTCCTTCACAGGCAAGCACAAGCACACTGTATTTGGGGATCAAGCGCACACAAGGCGGTGGCTGGACCGTAGTCCGCTCCACACTGAGGGCATGGAACCACTCTTTGATCCTAACACGGCCACAAGGACCGTGCACCCCGTCCCCTCCAGCAACGACCAACTGTCTCCTGGAGCCAGTATGGACGAGGTAGTGGGTAATAGACAGGTAGGCACCTTGGCAACATGCACATCAAGCAACAGCCACTTACTTGAGAGAAAGATAACAAAGAAAATAAATCGAGTAATGCATTAAAAAAGCGTGACATATACCTCAAAGTACTGAGCATATGAGGTAAGTTGTTTACAGAGGAATGCGAGATAAGTTCACGAGAGCAGAAAGTATGCTATTACGAAATGCCACGAACACAATAATGTTATCGAAATTGACGAGAATTCTCTAAATTGACGTGTGCAAGTTTATAGAAGAGAGTACACTAGACATTTATAAGAGAAAGCAAAGCATTGGGACAAAATTGAAAACCCACCACCTGAAGCAAAACAGAATTAGCACGCAAGCAAACGGTGACATAAATCGTAAATTAATGAGCATATGAAATAAGTTATTTACAAAAGACTAAGAGGTAAGTTCACGAGGTCAGGGGTTTTTATTTTACGGAAATGCTACAAACACGAAAATGTTATCGAAATAACTACAAGTGGCTTAAGCGGCGTTTGGTGTATAGAAGAGAGTATAACTAGGCATTTATATGGGAAAGAAAAGCATCAGGGCAAAATTTAAAAAACCCACCACCTGAAATAAAGAGACTTAGCATGCAAGCACGCTATTAGTAAATCGAATGCAGCGTATCTACAAACGCTGCGCCGGTTCGGAATACTTCTCTGCATACATATATATATATATATATATATATATATATATCGGATGCCGCCAACCATATATTTATATATTCGCTATTTTTGTCTCCTAGCTTTTGTATTGCAGCTAAGGTGTTTCGCATTTTTAGCTAATATGTTATGATGATGATGAGGACGATGGGGATACGCCTGTGCACGACATCATTGCAGAGAGGCTGGAGTGTGTCACACCAACAATGTTTGAAAACTGCAAGCCTGAGAAATAAGAAAAAGACGTTACCAGAACCCCGATAGAGTGTAAAGGGACTTCGCTGCCACGCAATCGCCACCAGTCGCACCCGGGGGCTGGCTACAACACAAAGTAGATTGCACTTGCGCTGAATCGAATCGATGACCTTCGGATTACAAAACGGGCCCTTAATCGTGTGGGCAACTCACGGAAGAGGCTGATTTTCACCCCGGTATAAAAAAGCTTTTGTGGCGCTGTAGACACGACTTTCAAGGCCAGAGGTATCGCACATCCATGAGGACCGCTCGAGGAGTTTTAACGTGGGAATTAATCAGGTGCCCGTCCCTTTTAATGCAATTGACGAAATAGGGAAATGGAGCAATCGCTCACAGTGAAGGGGCATCAAGGTCTAAAGGGCCACAAAGCCGCTAGTGATCAGGCAACAGCACAGCACGGGCGTACGGGAGTTCATCCAGGATCGACTGTCTTCTTGAGATGGTTAAATACCATAGACGATGTCGTCAACAGAATATAATTCGATCAGCTCTCCTTCAGGCTTCATTCAATGCGTACATTGGGATACTCCACAACGGAATGCCTCATAATGGGGTTGAAAAGACTGGACAAAAACAAGCGAATGAGACAATCAAGGCAAACTTCGTTTGTTCACGAATGGGAGTCTGACGACATATGCAAATCCTGATGCGCTCGAGTACATGGCACGTAGCTCATGAGAACATTACTCCAAGCAAGTATGTCCAGGAGTAAAAGAGTATCAACCGAGTCGGAAGCGCTCGTAAAAACGAGGAGCTCTGCTATGATGGACCTGTGGTGTGCGTGGCGCTGCTCAAGTACATACCACAGACCTGAGAAATAAGAACATTCTGGTGTCTTTAAGGTCGAAAAACCATATGTTTTCTCATCTGAGAGCCCGATTCGCAGTAAATCCGTGTTCGAGTACTGAAACTGGAAAGTGTATCACTACAGGTGTCAAGCCGGTACTCTGTGGAAAGCACAGAGAGAAGCATTGAGTGGCTTGCACTGGATCAGAGTACAAAGGAATACGAAAGACGCACAGATGTCAAGAACAAAGGTAGCTCGAGGGCATAGGGCTCAAAAGAGCTGGACTAAAGCCAAAGACCAGGACAAATGAAATGAGATTTTAGAATAGGCAGCCTACAGAGTGGAAGACGGTGTGGTTGACAAGCAGATCAACCATCGGTTTGAGCAGTTTAATTATATTACCGCGAGAACAATCCAATGCGGAACTCTAGCCGGACAGTTGGGCAGAACATCCCATGGTCCATTATTGCATGCATATTGGTGAGATGTCTGCTAGCCAGACGTGCGGATTCGTTGCTGGTTTACACATAGAATATGGCGCTATGGATGACAACTGCACTGAGCTTGAAGACTGGCATTAAGTTGACAGCGTGCGACCAGCAACTTTGTGAATGACTCCGGTGGTACATGTGCGTGAACTTAGCGTCGGCTAACGTGTAATACACATGAGACGTCGAAACTGGCGAAAATGTAGAAAAAGACGTGTCTACGAGGAGAAAAGTGTTAGGTAGCGATTAAACCCGAGTAACCACAACCCAGTGTAGTGGGTTGAGATAGTTCGTGGCAGATGAAGTCTACAATTCGCTCTACCTTTGCGGTTCTCGTTTATAAACTGAATTGCAAATGCTGTTCCGTCTCTACTGTAGCTCAGGTCAATAGAATTTCTTGCTCCCGATGCGGCAGTGCTTGGCAGAAGGGAAAAAATGGCAGCAGTAGTACGTCAGTGAGCCGCAACAACGCTTTGCTGTTACGCGACCACCAACAGTGGTGCGCGAGCTCAAATCGGTGACCGTAAGGCTACAATGCAGACGTCCTATCCATTTGGCCACTGGCCGGTGGCAGTGGTTGGTAACTTCCGCTTAAGCGAATCTTGCTTCCTCGATCATGGTAGACTGCATGGTGCGATGATCAACGCACCGGTAAGATGTTAAGGCTGTTCTACCCTTGGTTGAACCGAGTGAACTCAGGAACGGAGTGATACAAGTAGCTTACGGGAGCGAAGTGCGATGGACTACCTATGGAGACCGGATACCGCCAGCCAGATGCCGTTGCAAAATGTGATGTGTGTCCCAAATGCTAACTTAGATTCCACTAAAAGCTGAACACATTCGCATCTGAGCGAAGACAGTTACTGGCAGAATGCGCTCTGCTCGTGGACGCGATCGGTACAGTTTGTCAACTGTGATCCTTACACCGAATGGCGATGGAGGAACCCGACGCCGTGACAAGCGTTGCAAAAATTATTATTATTATTATTATTGCAAGGACACTGTGCGAGATGAACAAGGAGTAAAAGCGTCAGATTGAATACTCATGAGTCTGAGGGGTGAAAGAACGAATGTAAGAGTTTCACTGACTCAGTGACCGCGCCATGACCTATAAGTCACCTAGTCGCCGAGATGGCGCCGTCGGTCTCGAGGACTCCACCCGGAAAGACGACAGGTGCTAACCAGATTCCATCGTGCAAGCAGTTGCTGTTTGTTCATTTGTCAAAGAGTTGATTAGTCACCTTTGGGGTTTCGCCCAACTAGACGCAATATTGGTAAATAATATACAGCGAAGAAGCAAGTATGAGAGGAGTACTTAACTGAGCTACCGAAGGTAGCTAAAACTTCTAGGGGGTACCGGACGGTCCGTCGACAAACGCAATGTAAAAGGTCGACAAACATGTTTGCAGGCATGTGCATGGAACAATAAGGGGCTTCACTCTTTCGAGATGTGACCGTGAAAATAGAAGTACCTTAAAAAAAAGAAATTTTCACACGAAGGTTTTAGCAATCATCTCTCAATTGTACTGGGAGCAATGGTACATGCATCCGAGGGTAAAACAGAACAACTGATAGCAAAGCGATGAACACACTGGGCACACATCCGAATAACACCCTCCACCTGGCAAGGACATCACCCACATCCGAGTGTAAAATAGATTTGGATGGCGCGTTGCATTAGTTTACTTAGGGGGCACGTGCCATGAAATTGATTTCTTGTCTATCAATATCCATTAAGGAGGCCATAAAAGCAAAATGACGAACTTCCGTAGTACTCATGCAATTCGCCCACCACATATCAGCAGTACTTCGCCGAAGTGGGATGTGTGCCGCACACGCAGTGAGAAGTGGAGGAGCGGTGAAAACCGCCGGTCTACCCACAATTCCCAAGGTGCTTGAAGTGAAACCAGTCAAACAAGCGCAAAGGTTTTAGTAGTAATAATCGATAAAATCGATGTGAAGTGACCATGTGAGACAAAGTCGGATTCCCAATGAAAGTGGAAGGCGAATATGGTAAAAACAAAGTCCATTGTGGCGGAGACAGCCGTGAAAATATTGAGACCAGTGAACGTAGTCAAATAAAGAAAAAAAAGAAGCTAGAACATACCACATGCCCATATATCTACGGCTTTCCCATAGGGTTCCTTGCGCAAAACTTCCGGAGACAGGTAACCAGGCGTGCCAGCGAACCCTGTGAGAAGGGAAGTGTTTAATTATGCACAGCTTTCGAGTCGGGGGAAATATAATTCCCGCAAAACGATCCACCGGCCAAAAAAACGTTTGGCAGAAAAATAGCAAAGGCCACCATTCAGTGTGGTCTGGATTTGTAATCTCGCACAAATTCTCCATGGTTGCCACATCTGAACATAACAATTGAAATGGATGTCGCCTAAGTGAATCGATTTGATTGTGAGTTTAGCCCATAACTGGAGCATAACAGCAGATGTGTGTGTGTGCCTAAATTTTTGGAAATTGTGTCAGCCGGATAACCATCCGGATGATACAAATCCAAAAAGTTATGAATATTCATGAGTTTACAGATTCTAGATACGCGTAGCACACTCCTGAAAGTATGACAGGAAGAAAAGCAGGATACATGACTTTGGTGGCGGACGTCCAACTATTAAGCGCCTACGTATGCTGTTCGATCCCCGTTCTACACTAGATGATGGCCAAACTGCCATTATGGCTATTCTAAACTCGTGAATGAGCAACCAGTTTAGGAAAACACTCATGGTTCATGTATCGAAACGCGGTATCCAGTTGCTGTGACTAGGGGTAACAATCAGCTGTCATGGTGGGGAAGAGCGGTAGAACGCAGACATGATACACAGAGAAGAGCTAGGGAAGAGAGTCAAAATTATTCAGGATGAAATATTACAACAGATAGATGCCGAAAAAAGGATACCAGAGCGCCAGTGATTGCGCGACTGCGTCATACACGAGAGAGGCCCCGATTTGGCCCACATCGAGACCCCATCGGCGAATATGACACGCACCAGTCGGAAGAATCCACGTTATCTACCAGCCACCTCGCAATTTCGCTCAACTAGCGACAGCATACATTGTACCCTGAGAAAGGCAATCCACTGGTATACGGGTAACATGATCTAACCGACGTATATGGTTTCAGTTTAGCAGACATTCCGTTGATGTAGCAGGAAGACTATACAAAAACAACTCAGTACCCACAACAGATGCGAAGAATACTCCGCAAACACCGGTGATTCACATTTTCAGCGTGAAAGGTAAAGGCATCTGATCGACACGGCAACACTGACCGGATCATAGCAGTGCATACCCAAACTTTCGTTGACTGGCTGATATTCCACCGTGTACATAGATAACTAAACTTCTGGAAAGACACAGAGCTTCGTTCACGTGTGAAGTAATATCCTCAGTGATGATACCAGCTGATGTCACAAAACTAGGTGAACCGATCCACCCCTTCCAGTGGGTAATCGCTGACAAATAAAGCCGGTAGCATATCGGACCAGTCCTGTAACAATACCGCATTCCAAGAGGAGTATCGCTACGAGTCTGTCTGCTGTGTTACGTGCAGATGCACGAAATCAGAGCTGTCGTCCGCATACTTAACGTTCGCTAGTCGATCACCCGGTAGAACTTTCACTCAGGAAGATCCTGAGAGGACAGAGTATTTCAGGATTATTTCGATCACAAAGATATAAGCCAACCATGGAGAACCCAACTTGCCGTGTGGAACTCAAAAGACGGCTTCCAGAAGAGGCTTATCTGTCCTTAAACATTCCGGTGGACAGACTTAAGGATGTAACGTTATTCCGGCATTCTCTTCAAGGATACTCATCGCTACAGGCTGATCTGATCAACAGTCGAAGGCGGATTTCAAGACAAGGAAAAACCCTATTGTCAGCCGTCTGCAAGCGAAGTGTAAAGGAATGGTGGTATGGTAATTCTGGTGCCCCTTGCACCTACAAATCTCGACTGTCACGAGAGAGCTGTCCTGGTACTTTAAGCCACGAAAAACAGTTACGCATGCTGGAACAAGCAACTGGGTTCAACAAAATAACTCAATGAAAGCCACACGGTGGGTCGCCTGAACGTGCGATCGTTTTTCCTGCACTTATAGAAAAAGAGTGTATATACAACCAGTAGGTGAACACCTCTCAAAGATACAAAAGCGCAACAATCGTCAGGATAAGAGCCGTATCACATATCCAGCCGAGAGTATAATCAGCCCACCGTAAGCAAGGCGCCAATAGGCAAGTGTGCAGACTAGACTGGCCACATCACTGCAACCTTGACCGAGCTTTCCAGCAACATACAAATGACTGTGAGATGCTTGGGTGAGTAGACCGAGTGGATAGGTAGCGGGCAAACCCGATTTCCGTCAGCAAGTAATTAGGGATGGGCAATATGAAGCGATTCACACTGGCCATTGGAGCTAATAGGGTTCGTGAAAGTTACAAGTGTCTGTAGAACGGATGAGTAGAGTAAACCCAATGTTGTTTCGCTTCGCCCAGGCAATGTTTGTCTCAAGAAAGAATGCGTAGCAAATTAGAATAATCGACGGATAAAGAAAACGCAGTGTGCTTGAGTTGTGTAATGGTCGGGATAATGAGACAGCAGCCCAAAGACCAGACTTTGATTGTTGGCGATCAAAAATGAGAGGCACTTGTCCAATTTATCCGGTAGTATTGCAAACGCGACTGGCAGTTGATAGTTATGTGGTGATGGGGCACCGAAAACAAATTACTTGCAATAAAGTGAATAAAACAGTGCTTAGTGCCAAAACCATTCAGTCAGCCTGGATATGTCCTACAAAATCACCGGTCTGATAAACAAGCCCCTCATTTCATAATTTAGGAGATTGGAATAGCGTCGAGGTCAAGGTCATGACTGCCAAGATGTATCTGCTGTTTAATTTTCAGATCAATAGCTTGTCACTACATTTGGTCAAACAATCCTGTGGTTAAGTGATTATAGTGGGCGAAGCAAATGGGATTGGTCTCAACCTGAATGGGATGGACCAATTAGTTAAAAACTTGCTACTTGACCGGACGAGGTATCGCTTGTCCATTCAAAAACACACACCGTTTTAGGATAAGTACAACGAGTCAAACTAGGCGCTACAAAGCGGAATGAGAGCAATTCGATAGGAACAATAAGGAGTGGTCGTAGCAAACTAATGCGCCATTCAGAGCGGATAGAGATAGAGGGGACAAACGATAGGCAGTCTTTTGCAACGGAGTAAGGAGACAAGGGATACGAAAGTCGCAGTGCACAAATAATACTTCGTACGATGATTAGCAGCCAGCTGAGGAATGTGTAAAAAGAACACAATAAACACTCGATGAGCGGGAACTTGAGGTGGGGCTTACCAAACCACGCCGGTTGTTCGCTTGTCACCTCGATGGCGAGCCCGAAATCGGCCAACTTTACAGCGGCACCCTTAGATTTGCTGGCGAGTAAGAGGTTTTCAGGCTGAAAAGCAGAGTGATGTGAAGACACATGATACAATTCCGGATTAAATTATCGGGGATGCAGGCACAAAAAGCTGAAATGTGCGTGCAGTAAGGTTAAACAGGTAGAAATAGAGAGTCGGGTTCCAAGGTATAAGAAGGAACACCGCGGAGGATGATGCACAGTCATGAGACAGGAGAAGAGACAATAGAGACGAAGAAGAAACATAGGGGTGGTGAAAACGGACAAAAACAAGCTATAAATATATGTTGCATGCAAATTTGAAGACTGTGTGAAGGACTTGGTGCGCTACCGCATAATAAAGGCAGATTGCTGGCGGCCAATGTGTAGCAGTGTTTAACTGGCAAAATAGCCAGTTCCAGCGAGACTGATCAGAGTGTTTGGACTACAAAACATAGTTGGTGCGTTGATAGAATGAAGTGAGAAATAGGAGAGAAAGCGAACAAATGTCCGTTGAATATATCTAGGGACACGCAATGAGCGTGTTAGGCGTTCGTGTATTTATTGCAGTAAGAGCGAGGGAACTGCTCAGCACCGTTATATCATGTGCCAGGCGTTGCGCATGTCAGCACATCGGCTCCCGCGACATATGTGTTGTTTGCGCGACCGAAGTCGGGATGGGAGAAGAGGAGACTAAGTGATGATTTGATCAAGAGGAATGAGGATCTTATAACTTGGCGTCGCTTGGTGTCTCCAGACTGCAGGGCTGGGATCCCAAGGGCGGAGACACTTAATGATATATGGCGGAAAACCGGTCTCAGTGACGTCTGTGTTGCGAGTTCCGTTGTTCCTCTTTCTCCTTCAAGCATGATCTCACACCCGATGCGTAATATGATACCAAGCAATATGTCGATTTTTTAATTCTGTAATACTTGGCATCTCGCATTCTTCCTATATATTATCTTTTTGTATTGTGGCACAATAGCTGAGGTGTTCCTCAACTTCAGCTAACGCGTAATGATGACGATCCTTACTGCTAATCTTGTGCAGGTGAGATTATAAGGCACTGATGTGACGATCCTGAGGACCTAACAACCTGAGGACGTAGGAACATACCTGATTCCGCGTTTCGCTAAGCAACATCGTATTATATAGCCGCAGTATCGGACAGTTATCGGGAAGTCTTATCTGACAGAATTCAAAAAGGTACAGATTAGAGTTGGTGGTCGACAGGTGAACGAGAAGAACATGACATGTACAGCGTAGATGATCCAAGCTTAACAGACACTCCAGCGAGGCACCAAAGGGCCTCCTGCAAAACATCAAGTATCCCTCAGCCTGAGATCCAAAGCATCGGTGGCCCAACACGGTGAATGCATTAAAGCCTTCAAGTCGGAATAGCCTGTCCCTGACTCATTCCCTAATACCAACATTGCAGGGTTAGACATCCAACCTTGAATCGATAGAACATCATCTAGAGATCCCCGTCAGTGACTGGCCTTTCCGAGGCGTGCAATAATCAGGCCTGAGGTTGCGATTTGAAAAATGAATCGAGGTATCACTTCTGTGAAGGTGCGAGATAAGTCATGTCAAGCCAATTGTACAATCGTATTTCATACTTTGAAGGTGAGGCACGAGTTAAATTATCAAGCATTGACTGTTACCTTATCCAACAGCATTAGAGAAGGCGCAAATTAGGAGCCGATGAGACCAGGTCGCCTGCGTGCTCAAACTCGATCAGGTTGGCATCAAGAAGAAATTCTACTGCAGGAGCATTCGTGACCTTTTCGACTACAACGCCCAAGAGTCGAACACTCCTTATGCACTCTGACAGTGACAGAGAACTCAGAAGATAACAGTTTCCCGTAGGTACACACAAGGCATCAGCCTGGGGAGTCAAGAATGACGCGTCGCGCAAAACCAGGTAACGCCAAAAAAGCGTCCTCAGTGAAATGAAAAGTAATCTGTGTGCGTGCGGCGGTGCTCAAGAACCTCGTGAAGCGTAAAAGGTAATTTATTCAACGTCCATCAAGGCACAATTCAACCTGACCATCACTGATTTCATTGTATAAGGCCAGTGAAATGCCGGAACATAAAGTCAGGAGGTAGCCAAGAGGCAGCGGTTATAAAGACAATAGTTCACTGCTTGGATAGCTGACCTGAATGAGTGCTTATTGGATGCATCCTTTATCCCATGGCAAAGTGTGTAATTAGCTTCCGCATTACTTGGTGGAACGCATTGCTGATAAAGGTAGAACAATACAGGAAGACAACTGTGCAGCATGATGGTGATAACGATGATGATGTGTAGCGTGGTGGCGACCTGTCACTACTAACTGCAACCAATGAGGCTCCGTAGTAATGGAGTGTACATGACGAGGAGTTACAGCCTGGGCAAAAAACTAACCGTGGTTCCTCAAAAGGTATTACGATGGCCAAGACACAACATAGCGTGCAAATTGGTCGAACAGGCCACTAGTTGGCGCAGCGGGCGCGTCTTAAGGTCACATATGGAAAAATGCCTTCCCTGTGAAGGTAAAAGTGAATGAGTCAGGTGTATTCGCAGATGAGACAATCAGATGCAGCGTCCTAGGGCGCGGGGTTCTGGCCTGTATCCGTTAAAGACAACAAGCCCTTGAGACACTGTGCCAAGGCCATCTTGACCGGTTGCAGTATCAATAATCACCCAGTTCGATGACCAGAAGGGAGTAGAAAACGGAGGACATACGAACAAGCCAGATTACCACCGGCTGCTGTGTGGGCCATCAATCGCGTACTAGGAAGGCATTAGTCGCCTGGCTGTCGACGATCTTCGTATCTATCCGTGAGTTTGATGACGCGGAATACTTATCTTGGCTTCCTTGTTGCCGCGCACAGGCACCTTGAATGACCTTAGTTTGCTATTACTCGAAGGCCGTGTTATCTGATATTAGTCGGTTCTCAGCGGTTCGCGACATGCGTTGGCCACCCTGCTGCATAGCAGGTCTTTACGATTCAAGGCTCTGGGTAGGGTCTCCTAAGCCAATCCTCTCACAACGCCCGGGAAAAGTTGAACACAATATATGGATCAATGTTTAGCCACGGTGAATTGCACGCAATAAAAGGTAACACTGTAATTCTCAACGATGAGTTCAAAGCCTCATTGTGTTACGAACGACAGTAGTAGGATTGCAAGAGGTACCCCAGACTGTGATCGCAAGTTATCACTGCGGCATTCCGATGTCCACTATATCACCATTTGTGTTTGTATCTTGTGGATGACCCAAGGCAGGAGAACGATTGGTATATGAGATGAATTACCGGAATTGAATACGGAAAGCACCAGTACCGACGCTAGGCTAAAACGCTGCCATCACTAGTCGCGCGTGGGCTAGGAGCACTACGAGGGTTACCCAGTCACCTACGTAGGCTGAAACTCGCGACCTCAGGATCACAAACAGAGGAGTTATGAAAGAAGAGCAACACACGTGTTCGAAAGTGTTCCTGGAAGAGAATCGCTAGATAGAAAGACGAAGTGAAGTGAGTCAAAATCCCAAGAGGGTGTGTATGAGCCAAGAAAGGAACACCACCGCATCGCACGGCAAATTGCCTGAACGAGAATGGATAAGGTAAAGAAAGAAAAACGCATTCTGCGGAGGGACTGATAAAAATGTCAAGGCAGTAAGGCGAGTCAACACAGAGAAGTGCATGCTAAACAAAATGTGCGCAAGAATGCTTCACGGTGACAACATTTGAATTGCATGCAGACAAACCTTTAGATCTCGATGAACAATGTTATTTTGATGACAATAGCTGACGCTCTCAAGAATCTGCTGCATACAATTGCTGGAATGAATAGATCAGGGAAAAGGAAACAAAGATAGAGAGAGGCGAGAGTTGTGAGTGTTGCTACTTCCCTAAGATATTTCTCCATGTAGGTGTGCACGAATCGAGTCGTAGTCACACGATTGAGCAGTAAAGAAAAGTACTCAAGTTGGGCTAATTCAAGGGGTACATTTGCTTAGGCACGGAGAAAACCGAATTCCGTTGAATGTAAAATAAACAGGGTCAGACGATGCAGCACCGGGTGAAGTGGATGAGCAGACTTTCAAGTTGGAAAAAATGGCAGATAAGTGTGGATCTACGGGACGTCCAGTGCCATGGTAGAAGAGGTGTAAAAATAACAAGCAAGCGTCTGATCGGAGATAGCACCACAACACAATGGCATGTATAGATAGTATCACCACTACAAAACAGCAAGAGGAAACATTTCAACAGATTAATCTGAATTCGGATATCCCGTGTTTTCACATCAGCTGTGCACAAATAATCTGTGGAACCAGTATGCTGCATACACGACGGTAAGATTCACAATGAAGAAGTTCCACTGTGCCCAATTGTCTCAAGCTTGGGTACACTGTATCAAAAGTTGACACGATGGTAAGCCCAGCTTATCGAACCTATCCAGTGCGAGCTAACCAGCTATAACCTCAAATATACAACTGAATTTGTCGACAAGATAAGTGATTGAAACGTGGACCGAAAACATATGGTTTCAGTTGATGTTTGCTCGTTGTTCACCAACGTTACTTTAGGAGAGACCCTCGACAAAGTGGGATTTCCGGCAAATCATCTCAAGTCGCTAATCCGCCTGTGCACGAAAGACATTCACTTCCAATTCAGTGGAACAATGTGCCGACAAATAGATGGCACGACCATGGGCAGCCCAGTCGGGCCAGTTCTAGTTGATATTTTCGTGGGCCATTCGGCGAACACCACAATTAGTCCTTTTGTGCAAGGTGTTCATTTATATAGCAAACAGCTGAATGATAGATTTGTTATAGTTGAAATCGTTCATCAGGCAGCACATTTAGTTGGTGCTCTGAATCAGTACCATTTTTCGATCAAATTTACGATGGAAAACGAAACAGCTAACAATTTCCTTTTTTGGATGTGAATTTGAAAAGATATCCAGATGGTACACTCACTCGATCGGGACAGTTTCTCGATTTTAACAGTTGCCGCCACATCAACTACAAACGAGCACTCGTGCGCACCGTTTTCGCAACAGCTCGTAAGATATGCTCCGACGGAACTATTGACAATGAGTTACGACGTGTCTCAGCAACCCTCCGAGAGAACGTGTATCCCGAGGTTCATCGCGTGCCACGCAAAGGAAAATATAATCCACGTCCCAAAGGAAGTATTCATGTAGCTGCCATTCAGAGGGGACCAAAATAGCAGGCGATTTTGACATCACCAACGCTAGTTCATTAAGAAATGCTATTATGCGGCTGAGCTGATCCTACTCCACCAAATTAAAAGGTAGTTTTGCAAACCCGACCTGGACAGACCAGACTCTAAAGTTACCACCTCCTGCATCTACTTTTTTCACTGTACTTGCGATAGCAGGAACGTGGACCGAACTGAGAGGTTGTCCAGGAGGATTTCAAAACACGTCCCACGTAACCTAGTGACAAATGGCCGTAAGCTGCTCACAAGGTCCATCGCCCGGCATATCCTTGTTTGCCTTAGGTGTCAACACCCGCTGGAATCGTTCGAAATCCTTAATTGACACAGCACTGCTCATCTGCTCCAGTTTTCAGAGGCTTCAGCGATCCGTCGACTGAAACCCAATTTATGTAAGCAGACTACTCTCGCCTTGTCCTAGTGAGGTTATAGGTTAGCTTTAACTAAATTGAATGACTTCACGCATTGTCTTACCGGCGTTTGTGCAGCATACGGATTCCACAGATTGTCTGTAAACAGCTGATGATAAGACAATAAATGTTTGAATTCGAGTTTTTCTGTGAAAATGTGGTTTGTCCTTGATATTCTGAAGTTTGTGGAGGGCAAACCCTGGGTGAAGTATCACCAATGTTTAGGCTGGTACTAGAGCATCGTGATATCAACAGTATGTTGGAGGTAGCCATCAAAAACCAAGCTCTGTATCAACTTAACAGAACAAAACCGCAATCATTAGTGTAGGTTACTAGAGTGACGTGAGGGGGGGGGAGCTTCGTCCCCGGATAAAGAGTAAACCTGTAGTGGTAGTCAAAGCAAACATGGATAAACATAGACTAACAAGAAAGGCAAAAAGGATGCAGGGGGAACCGAATTTACGATGGTTTGTCAACAAAATCCACGTAACAAAGCGATGCAAAGGTAAAATATCTCGCGGCGAATTAATGTAAAACGTAAAGCGAATGGGGCAAAGGACCGGGGACGGAGAAAACGCATACAGCACATCAAAACTGGTGGCAACAAAAAAGATAGAAAGTAGAATTTAAAGTAAGAACGCAATTGAAAACTGTCTCCACACCTGTGACAGCTTGATGTACGTGACGTGGCAGTTACTATGCTTCCAGCACTCGCATTCTATCAGACCGATCCAACCGGTGACGTTCATTCCCACACTGTAGCTGCCTATAATATGCAAGTGGTACGCTCCCGAAACAAGACATGGGAAAAACAAGAAGGTAGTGAATGCAGTCATGACTGCGAACGAGACCGGAGCTGCTCTCCACAAATCTAGTAACCATGGGCATCAATCAATCGGTGAGGTACCGAGGCAAATAACTTGGAGGTGATGGATATCAGACTGATACCTATATGACTGCCGCATTTCGAACGTTGGAAGTCCTCTAGGATCTGGACAACATGGGAGCTGTATTGGTCGGTTTGGACAGTTAACTGCTCCCATAGTTTCAGTATATATATATATATATATATATATATATATATATATATATATATATATGCAAACGTCTACGAATAGACATAATGCCATCAGAAACCATGGGATTCAAACGAAGGTACAGAAATAGTAAAGGAAAACACAACACAACGATGTCCATGGTTTCGTCAGAGGGCGAGATACTACCCGGTTGCCCAAGCCGAAGTAGGGTGTTGACTTAGGGGACACCGCCCCGAGCCTTTGGCTGAATAGCCTGCCTGCAAGGCAGCAGAGCGAATTCAGAGAATCGCGCCCATTGGGAGCCAATGATTGATTGCTCAGTTCATACGCCTTTCGTTTGTTCCTTTGTCAAACAGGGGCCCAATGCTCCCCAGAACTACAGCATAACGTTGCCGGAATACAATGGTTCGCCAGGATGAAGCAAGGGGCAATGACTTTATCTAATGGCAAGTCACGTCCGACACGTCACAATGTTGTCAAACGGACATATGTAGCTTTTTATAGGGAGAACGATTGCCAAGCGAAAACCCACCACGTCCTGGAACACTGCTGCCGAACCATTTGCTGGAACGGGAAAATCCCGAACCACCCAGCTGGCACCACGAGGAGGTTGTTCGGCAACAGAGAGAAAACACGGAAGTTTTGGCAGGTCGAAGAGCAACTTGTAGCCGAGGTGAAGATGGCTCTCAAGAGAATCTTTGCCTACATGAAGTGGAGTCTGAGGTCCACATGTCAACGGGTTCTGAGCTATAACTTAGAGCAATGAGGATGCGTTCGCACTGACGACGCACTTCGCTTCCCTGTTGGCAGATAGCCGCGCGTCTGAACGGAGCTCTATTTATGCAACCCCAACCTAACTCGACAGCCTGAATTGTGGTGTGAAAGATGCGCACAATCCACTTACTAGTCTTGACTGCACGAAGCAAGCCGGTCTTGACGGGTTGCAACTGCTAATTATGAGGTCCCCGTCGACCATCACCTCGCCTGCCGTGACTGATCTGTGTCAGCTGTAGGCCGTAACGGCACTTCGCTGCTGCGCGACTACCACCAGTCGCGCGTGGGATGAGTATACGGCGGCGACACCTACCCCTACGCGAATTCGAATCGGTAACCTTATGGTTGCAAACCAGGCGTACAGACCACTCGGCTATGTGCCGACCGCTTGTCCAAGTGGTCTGCCGATGTCGATCTGCCGGTCAACTCGACAGGGCGATGGTAGGCGCACTTACACTCTGGACGGCCAACTGCCGTATCCCACGTCTTCCGTAAAAGACCATGGACAACAGGAACAGCCTACATGGAAACGAAACGCGCATGCTCTGGAGGCTCAAACGCAGCTAATGTAGTCGGTCCCAAAATATTGCCACTCGCTTCTGCTCTTCTAGCGTAAGACAAATTCTACAGTGCGGTTCAGTCACCTATTGTGCGATCACTCGTGGCAAGGTGCAAACCTGGAATTGGTTCAGCCTGTATCTACGAGGCTCATACACACTTATTTCATGAAGCAGACTCCGATTGCTGGGTCACGCTGTGCGTATGCCAGTAGACCGACTCGCGCAGTATGCCTTGTTTGCGCGACCGGGACGTGAAAGGAGGAGGAAGAGAGGCCAATCGATGGAATGAAGGCCCTTAGTTAGAAGTTGACTTTGGTTGGGGCCTCTCGGTTCCCTGTTTGGGGCCCGAAAGATGATGAACAGGTTTGGCTGGATACAATTGTTGACATGGCTAAGAGCAGAGCTCAGTGGCGTTTGTGTTGTTTCATTCTTCCTTCCTCTGCAAGCACGTTCTTGTTTATGAAGCATAATATAACTCATTTGCGTCAAAGCAGCCGGCTGGTAACATTCCGTTAATGATGACTCAGCTGGCGCGCCTGAGTTGCGTCGCTTTCTCTAGCGTGTATTGCGGCACAATGACCGTGTTCCCACCACTACTAAAGTTTGTACTGATGATGACTACGGTTATGTCCTACGAAGACCGAGGCAGAAGACTGGGGCTGGACACCATCGTGCTGACGGTTACGAGTGGACCTCCTGATGAAACACTAGGTATGCTGAGGCCGCTATTGCACTTGCACGTACCAAGCAGCACTCGCGGGCACCAGTAAAAGATTATAGTACCGAACGTTAGGGGCATAACTCACTCTCTATGA